CAGAGCCCCCCAGGGACAGGACGTGGGATGCACCCCCTTTGTTTCTGCTTCAGAGCTCACCGTCCGCACCCTCCACTTCACACACGGGGAGACTGAGGCCCAGGGTCCCCCAGCAGCACAGTGAGGGGTGGGGTTCAAATCACAAGACAACACTGGCCCTATTCCCGGGCTCTGCGGCCGCCGCTGCTCCGTGGACGATGGTAGGGCTCGTCCCCACAGAGTCCTCAGAACTGTCAGGCCCCGCCCAGTCCCAGCAGCCCCTGAGCTGTGCCTGCCTCTCCTCTGAGCTGCTGGGGGGCGGGCGGGGCGGGGGAGAGCATCTGGCACCAGGCCCCCTGCTCCCCCCTTGCCGTTCACGGTGATTTGACCAGGAGGTGCAGTGTGACCAGGAGGTGCAATGCGGCACGAAGCACGGTTGGCAGCCAGCACTGGGGTGCAGGACCCCCTAAGATCCCATGGTTGCCAGGCGGACACTGTCTCTGAGAGTCCACAAATGGTCCTGCTCTGTGGGGTCAGGAAGATTTTCACCCCAAACCTGCTCTGTCCAGTTTCTTCAGTAAGTGGGACAGAGGGCGACGGAAGAAATCTTGAAGCTGGCGGACTGCAGCCCGGCCCCCATCAGAACCAGCGGGGCTGCCGGTGACACGGGATGAAGCAGCTACTTCCGACCAGCTCCTGCCCCTCCCCCTCCCCAGGGAGGCACTGCTTCCCCGGGGCTGCCCAGGCCCTGCACCTGCAAGGCCAGTGTGAGTCCGTCCCAGGATCGCCTGCTGCACGGAGGCCGGTCTGGGACAGGAACTGGGGAGCAAGTGCTGGGAGCTCGGAGTCCCTGGCCCAGCTTCCTCCACGCCTGCCTGCAAGGGCCAGCACTTAACAAGCATCAGGACCCAGCGACAGGCCCGGGGGTTGGGGGACACGGCGTCCTGCCTGGCTCTCACCCTGCTCCGGAGCCTCCTCTGGGTCCACCTGTCCCGATGCCCCTCGTGTCCCTCCCTGAGTCCCCCCCTCACCCCCTTCCGCCACGGACCAGGGACAAGGCTGTGGGGAGGGGGGGCACTGTCCTGAGACAGCCCAGGGACCGAGGCTGGGGGGCCCAGGACAGCAGTGCCCCCCCCGGACCCGCCCCATCCCATCCTGGGAGTGCTGCTGGCGGGCAGTTTGCATCATACTCTGCCAGTAACGCGGCCTCTGGTGATGCTCTGGCACCAGCGGAGCTGAGGCGGCTGCTGCACAAGAGCCGTCCTCTAGACGCCGTTTCCCTTTATAGGAAGGTGTTGCAAACGCACAGACACGAAATCCGTCAGTTGCAGCCCCACCGCCAACCACCTGACCGGCTTCCCCGCGAGACCAACCGTTGTGCCCTGGGCCCCTCCTGCCAGCCTCACCCAGCGGCGCCGCCCAACCCGAACCACCGCTGGCTCCGGCCAGTCAAGGGCACGTCTGTGCAGAGAAGGTCACGGGGCACCTGCTGCCCACCTAGCCGGGTCCCGACCGCCCTGGAGGTGGGCAGAGGGGCTCCCTTCACGCCGCCCAGCATCATGCTGGACACCCCAGTGCCCAGGAAGCCAGGCTCCTAGGAGACACATGGGCGCCACGGAGTCCTGAGAACTCAATCCGGAGGCTCGGGCGCCACCGGAACTGCCACGAAGCCCCGAGGGCCTGGCCAGGGGCTCCCATCGCCCCTCCCCCAGCGCCCTCGCTCAGCCACACCCAGCTGTGGCCTGCGGCACCTCCGAGAGCCGGGAGACATCCCTGGCAGGTGACCGGCCTGGCAGCGTCCACACCCCAGGTGTCCCCTGGGAACAGAGCAGTGGGTATATACAGGCTCCACTGGGGAGGGGAGAGGGCAAGGCGGGCTGGAGGGGCAGGGCCTACCACTTGGGGCCCCCCCCACCCCTCCACAAACAGGGCAGAGGAAGCCAAGGGCTCCCCTCTCCTCCCTACAGTTAGGAGCCAGGCACCCTCAACCTCTATTTTCTTAAAAGCTTTTTTTTTTCTTTTTTATTAAAAAAAAATCCAATTATAGCACAAATCTCTCAGCAGGGGTCAGTGTAGAATAAGAATAGCCAGAGGTAATGGACATGACACAGGCAAGATTAATGCCTAAAGCGTTTCCAAAGTTGTATGATGCAGATTTCATTAACATTTTAATTGTAATGTATCTTTTTAATCTTCTCTCACCCTAATGGTTTTATATCCAAAAGAAAAAAAAAATAGGAAGAAAAAACTGCTGACAACAACAAAAAGTATCAATATACAGAATTTAACAAAGGCGCTTAGCAGCGCAACGGAAACCAAATTAAATGAGCAAAACTATGTTAACATTCTGATTTTCTAACAGCAGGAAAGTCAGAACGCAGCGAAAGCCATCCCTTCTCCCTTCCGGGCAGGGACGGGCGAGGACGGAGCCAGGGCGGCGGAGGGAGAGGCCAGGACCCGCCTTTCTGTTCTCGATGGTGGAGGGGGCTCCCTCTAAGGCCCCAGGAGCCCCCTGCTCCCCACTATCTGGACGCCAGAAAATGCCAATCTTCAGAACATACCGGCCATCAGGGCGGGAGCCCCTGGTACCACAGGATGGGGAGGGGGTCACCATCATGAGGGGCCTTTGGGGGGGCAAGGGCTGGGCTGAAGACAAGGCCCACGAGGAGGCCCAGAAGGCCCTGGACGGCACTGCTACCTCCAATTTTCAAAGGCGTTTTCTCCAGAAATACAACCAACCCTGACCACTCAGGGCCCCGCGTTTTTATTTATTTATTTTAAATATATTTTCATTGATTTCAGAGGGGAAGGGAGAGGGAGAGAGAGAGAGAAACATCAGTGGGGAGAGAGAATCATGGATCAGCTCTCTCCTGCACGCCCCCTACTGGGGATCGAGCCTGCAACCCGGGCCTGTGCCCTTGACCGGAATCGAACCCGAGACCCTTCAGTCCACAGGCTGGGGCTCTATCTACTGAGCCACACCAGCCAGGGCCAGATTTTTATTTTCAATCAACAGACGCTCCTAGAGCACCAAACTTGTGCTGACCCTCCGCCCCCAATCCAGCTCCCCAGGACCACACCCCCAGGTCCAGGCCACCCTCAGGGACCCGCGGCTGGGCCTGGGACACAGCCCGAACTGTGGCTCACCCCAGTGACTATATATGGGCACTTTCAGCCCCTGCGTCCCCGCCCCCGGCACTGCCTGCTTCCCAGGCTCCGGGCAGGCACTGGGCGGGGCCCAGGAGCTCCCGGCCCATCCATGGCCATGTGCCCTCCTGGATGCCAGGGCCCGGGCTGCGGGGGAGGGGCAGGATTCCTTCGGACGGCCAGAGCCAGCCTCTGCTCCCCGTGAGGCCGGGAAGCGTCTCAGAGAAAAGAACCTTCCATCCTCCCTGGAGACTGGGAAGCAGCCTCCCCTTAAAGGACCATGACCCTCACTGGCTCCAGCCCACTTCCCGGGAGGGGCCCTGGGGAGGCCCCCGAGGCCAAGCCCGTGCTGCACAGAGGCCCCAGGCCAGGCCTGCGCACCTCAGCCTCCCAGCACCTAATAAGGAAGCTGCCAAGTAGCATCGATGCACAGGGAGGGCTCAGAGAGGGTGAGTTACCCACCCACGTTCACACAGCCTTGGGCGCACGTGACCTGGGAGAGACTGAAGAGCTGGCCCGTCTGCTTGCCTGGACACAGGCCCGGCCAGCGGTGGGGGCGGGCGGGGCCCCGAGAGCCAGATGCCCTCCCTGTCCTTCTGCTCCCAGGGCTCCCGGCCCGGGCAGCCATGGGGCACGGGGGCCCCTCCCTCCCCCCAGGATGCCAGCCACAGGCACCGGGAGCCATGCTCTCAGGTCCTGTCCCTGACCCTTCTAGACTCGCTGTGCCTGCCCCGACCGCCTGGGGAGACCCTCACTGGGTCAGAATTCCTGCTCTTCCCAGGCCTGATCTGAAAGACAAAGGCCAGACCCGCAGGGAGGAAGCCCACACCACCCTGTCAGCAGCTGCAGGTGCAGAGGGAGCCGCGCCCCCAGCATATCTCACTCATGATCTCATCCAGGCCCGGCCTGGTGAGAGCAGGAATTCGCTACCAGAGAAACCGAGGCCAGGCCGCCAGGGCCGCGGCCCAGAGGTGAGCGGCGCCTCAGGCTGCTGAGGGGTGAGGTTGTTTTCCCAGCCGGCACCCTGGGTCCAAGGCTGGGAGGGCGGGAAGGGCATGACCTCTCGGCACACAGAGAGGAAACCGGGAGGGGTGGGGCCTCACGGGGTGGAGGGGGCAGACTGCTCCCCTCAGGGAGGAGGAGAGGGCGCCCTACAGGCATGAGGTGCTCCGAGGGCGCCCAGGGAGGGCCCAGCTCTCGGACCCTGGAGGCAAGTGGCCGGCTGGGCTGGTGAGAGGCCCAAGGGAGCCGGTCCCAAACAGGCCCTGCCGGCCCCTCGCCAGCCGTCAGACCCCAGGCCCAGCAGGCGTTCCAAGCCCCTACAGTGCGCAGGCTCTGGGCAGGCTCTGCTCACCAGGAGCAGCTGGGGACACTGCCCCTGCCCCGGGAAAGCCCCGTGCACCACACACAGGGTTTGCTCCCCATCAAAGACCAGGCCTGGGCCTGCAGGCCGCCCTTCCTTAGTGCCCGTCACACTGGGGGCGGGGGGGCGGGGGGGGGTGAGCAAAGGGCCTGGTTCTCCTGAGGAAGGCGCTGGGGTCTGGAGCGAGGGGCCTGACCAGCTCTCGCTGGATCTGACGGGCGGGGCAGACACTCACCACCCGCTCCCCCAGCCCCACCCCCGCCAAGGCGGCTCCTCTCACCCCACAGCCCAAGGGGACAACACGAGCCAGGAGAGACAAGGCCAACCAGAGCACAGGTGAGAGCACAGGTGAGCAGGAGGGGCAGATGGGCGGCGTAGGGAGGCGTGGAGGGAGCCAGGCCCCGGGTGTCTGAGGTCTGTGTCCCATGCATTTGGGGAGCACAGGCCTCAGAGGGCCAGGTGCAAGGGGAGCGTGGGAACACCCCCAAAAGGGTCAATGCCCAGTGCTTACCTTCTGTCCCGTGAGGGGCCCTGGGCCCATGACACAGGCCTGGCGAGCAGGACCCCAGAGGTAAAGGTCCGGGGGACCCGGCTGTCAGGGCCACTGCCATCACCCCTCTTACTGGAGCAGCACGCTCACGTTTTGGTGAAAGACAGGAGAGGTTTGCAGGGTCACCGTGAGCCCACCTCCCCGAGGGGCCCCTCGGACACACGTCTGTGGCCGAGGACCCAGGGGCAGCAGCCTGGTCACCGCCCAGCACCGGCCCCGCTGAACACGTCCTGCAGAGCCGGAGCGGCTCGAGCAGGGGCTGGACGCAGCGTCACCAGCTGGGTATCAGACAATGCGTCCAGCGCCCTGCCGGCCTGGGTGTGACCACTGACAACAGATCTCCGGCCACTGAGCGGGGACAAGTGATACCCCGTTCTACGTCTGCACTCCTTCCTGCGGCTCCGGGGGACAGGGGGGTGAACCCCTAGGTCTCATCGTCTGTTTCCCTGGCTCGGACCCCAGCTAAGGTGCCCCCAACAGTGGAATGGCCCCGGGGAAATACCCACAGGCCTGGGGGGCCCA